TATTTTGTGATATATAAAAAATTGTCGCAATAAGTGATTTAGCGCGACACATTTTTTAAGTTTGTTGCAAAAATTGAAACGAAAAAAGTAAGTACCAAAAAATACAAGGCGACATTAAAAGATGTCGTGACAAATAATAAAAATTGTCGCCAAAAACATTAGAGAATCAAGACGCCAAAATATTTTTGGTGGGAAACTTATGGAGACAAACTTATATTTCTTGCAACAAAGTGTTCGTGTTGCTAAAAATTCCATAGATGAAGGAAAAAATTGCTACAATAAAACAGTTTTTTTGCAACTGACAAAAAATGTTGCCATAGGTATTCACAATGCTCACCCGTATGTTGTAGGCTTTAATATTGTCGTAGAATAAAATTATATGACAACGTATAATGTACATTGCTAAAGGTCTCAAATGCATGTTTTTGTTAAGTTTTTGAGACGTATTTCGTCCATTGCTTTTATTATATTTTGCAACGCTCTTTACTTGTTGTCTTAACTTCTTTTTGCAATGTTCTTTTATTTTTTGCAATAAGAGTTTATTTTTTGTCTAGCTAAAGATGACATTTTATTATGTAATATGTATTTTTTGAAAACTTTAGATTTTTTATCAATAGGAATATTTTTATAATAAAAAATTTATAAATTTTCTAGAAAAAGTTTATCTTCAACAAAACAAATCATTGGACGATTAAACTTCCTCTTACATATAGATAGTACAAGCAATCAATTCATATCTCTGCTTCCCATGTGTTATTCCCTCCCCCATAAAAGAGGCAATCTCAAAAATATTGTGAGTTTCTTGTGTTCACACCTTAGATGATTTAGGTTTTAACTATTGGGTAGGCTTCCACTGTTCATAAGGCTCAATAAGTTTTCTATCAGATTTTCCTTGTACATTACGCCCAATACTTATTCTCTCTATCTATTCTTCCATTCAATTTAGGGAAACCATCACAATTAAGGCATTGACTATGCACAATTCAAAAATTAGGTTTTAAGTTTAATTAATGCAAAAATCAGGTATTTATTTATTAATTAAATATATTTTATTAATTGAATGTAATAAAATCACAATTATATAATTAATGGTCACATGTACATAATCATATGTCACAAGATCACGTATTTAATTCGAAATCACAAATCAAAAATTTTACAAGTCACATTTTATTTTATTGGTCATCGAATAAAAAATTATAGGTCACAATTTGTCAACCAATCACATATTTTCAAATTTGTCAAATTATCGAATTTTAAGGTCACAATTTATTTTATTGGTCACGAATAAAAAATTATAGGTCACAATTTATCAATCTGTCACATATTTTCAAAATTTTCAGTCACAGATTATCGAATAGTAAGGTCACAGTTAAACAGTTGATCACAGGTAATGGGTCACATATGACCACCACCTACACCGCCGTCGCCACTGTTGCCGCCGCTACCACAACCACCACCATAAACACAATGCCATCCTTGTCAACCACCAACACATCGCCGTCAACAACCAACACCACCGTAGCTGTCGTCGACCAGCATCGCTAACATCACCACCACCTCAACACTGCAGCCAACATCACAACAACCACCACCACCACCACCCAACTACAAACACTGCCACAACTTGCAAACCACTACCAATTACCNAACATCACCACCACCTCAACACCGTAGCCAACATCCCAACTACCACCATCCAACTACATACAATGTCACAACTTGCATACAACTACCAATTACCCTAAAAAACTCCAGATTTTCACTACTAGCACACCAACACCACCTTACAGCCAGAACCCAAAAGAACCCACAATAGATTGAAAGGAAGAAACACCACGTCACTGTTGCTACTGTGACGACTGTAGTTCTCAAAGCAATGCAGAGTCATCCCAGACATATCGAAGGTAAGAAATACTACATCCATGTCGTCGCCGTCCCCAAAACCACATATTTTCAACCTTAGTGACAGATCTTGTTGAGGAGAGTGAGAGAAGAGATTCTGGCAGGGAGAGAGAGAGAGAAGAGATGCCGGGGTTGAGAGAGAGAAAGGGAGAATTGATTAAAATAATTTAGGGTTTGAAAGTAGGTGGGATGAGTGTTTTGGTTGAATTTTTAATATAATTATTAATATTAAAATATTAAGTTGTCACCTGAATTTTGATTAAAAATACTTCATACCTAATTTTTGCATTTTGAAGTTTAAATTCCTGAGCTATGTAATTTTCCCTTCAATTTACACACTCATCATTCAAACGAAGAATTCCTAGCAATCGATTCTCCATATTTTTCATCTCTTCGACAGAAATTTCTGCAGATTAATGTGGTAATCTTAATTTTTACAATTTCATATCTCTTCTATATTCATTTGATTTGTTTTATTTTGATTGTTCGTGCAACTCGTTCTCTGCACTTTGTTTTTCTCGGTTCTGTAATCTACCTCTCGTTGATTCTTGTCGATCTTCTATCGATGCCATGCTGTGGACTCTACCGGTTCGGTCAAACGGTGAGATCCGTCTAGATCTATGTACTTTTGGCGCTGATGGTGATTTTGTTAGGTTTATTTTCATTTTAACACTTTTTCGAACACGTTTTGCATAGGAATCGTTGGTTTTCCAAAGTTCATAGTCTCATGTAGGTGTGTACATGGGTTGGGTTGGGTCGGTTTTTGCCTCAACTCAAACCCAACCCAACATGATCGGTTTGATCAAAATTTAACCTAACCCTACCTGTGTAAAGGTTTAAACCCAACCCGACCCAACCCAATCAAGTATTGGTCGGGCTGGGTTGTGTTGGTCGGTTTGGAATGACTTGTTAACAAAAACTAAAGTCATTCAATTTTTTGTTATACTAAATTCGAATAGATAAGATCAAATAGTAAGTAAATAAATAAATAAATAAAATTATCTATTATCTTATTCATTTCTCATTAGTCAAGCCTACAAAGAACAAAGTACATTTAACATAACATGGCAAACTTATACCACATATCTTGTGGGAAGAATAGTAAGCTCCTCCTCTAAAATAAACCAATGTAATTATATTTACACTAGCTACTTATACTTTTTAGGTTTCTTTCACTTTTCTAGTCATTTTATTTTATTTTTTTTAAAGTGGCGGGTTGGGTTGGGTGGGTTTATTCGGTTTTTATGAGTTAACTCATAACCCGACCTAACCTAACCCATCTACACAGCCAACCCACCCAACCCATGTAAAAATAACAAAAAAATCGACCCAACCCAGTCGAGTTAGTTCGGTTCTGTTTGGACGGTTTTAGTGGGTTTGGTCGGGTTTTGCCTATCCCTAGTCTCATGCTGTCAATTGTACCTTCTTCATCTCATGGAATGGTAAAAACTATTTTCACAAATAATTTTTTTTCCTTTTTGACATAATGTTTAAAATTTTAAAAGTCCTATGTTTTCTTTAGGGGTTCAAGTGTGTATGGGATGAAGATTTCAAATGTGAACCGAAGATATGTAAGTTTGGAGATATTACAAATAATTATGTTTGTTTATTTTTTTATTTTCTGGGTTCATTTTGTCTGCTTGCTTCGATATATATACTCGACTCCTTTAAGTCGAAGAGATAAAATTTCTGGCAGCTTTCGGAATGGAATATATATCCATAAAATCCTTTACTCAGATCCTAAAAAATATAGAAACTTTTGCAGCTGACATATTTCACCGAGCTAGTTAGCGGGTCAGTTTATAATCGTTTGCTTTTAATACCTTTTTGAAGTACTCACAGTGCATTTTGCCATGCATATTTCATTTGCTAAACTTCGAACGATGAGATCAAAATAGTGAGTTAAAAATCTAATTCATAGCCGTAACCTCTTTTAGCCTATTTCTGGTCTATATTTCAATCTTCGGGATAGGTTCTTGGTATCGTTTTGAAAAACTCATGATTACCTATACCCCACATATTTCGAAATGAAAAACCAATAAATATCGCTAATTTTCTGGTCGCTACAAGTTGTATATATATTGTTAATTCAATTGAATTTGTGAATTGAAAATTTGATATTATTCGTCGAATTTGTATATCGTAGTTCTTGGTATTAATACAGAGTTAATAAGTGATCATTTTTTCATCTTCTGAGGAATTGCAAGTTGCAACTTAGTAGTGTTTTAAGGTACTAGTATTTCGTATTTTCGTTACTTTGTTGTCTTTTCGTTTTCATTTTTTAGTCTTTTAAGGTAATGTATTTAATAATGAATAAGTTTCCTAATTTCATTAATAAAATAGTGGAGCGGATAAGGATTATATGATCGACAAGATAAACCTAAACACTCCGCTCACATGATATGATGAATAACAAACTCCAAAATTTGATTTATTGCATGATTTTAAAGTTGAGCAATTCCTAGGGTTGTTCTGTGTGTTTATTTGAATGATTGGATTTATTTATGGATGACTGAATGTATGTATGGTTGATGAATGAAATAATAATTAATTTTTTTCCAATGAAATGAGGCACAAGGGAAGCAAGATTGTTAATCATTGTTTTTTTTTTGCAAAGCTCTAATACCAGTTTTAAGGCAAGATAATTTGTAAGATACATAATCTGAAATTAACTTCTTATTTTGCATAATAAAATACCGCAACATGCGGAATAAAATTCATCAATGGCGTGTGGCTATAACTAAAATATTTGAGCAAGTTGAATTCATATGAAAAAACACCATGGATACATCAACATTTGAGATGACAGAAACCAAAATGAACTAAGAGCACATTTGGGACACCATGTTCAATAGTACTATACGATAAGATTTTAATTTCTTTTCTTCCTCAATACTCTCGAATACTATTTATTCCATCAAGCCAAACATGCTCGGAACTTAGCAAAAAAGGATTTCTTCTTAGGTTTATCAAATATCCCAGATCCATAAGTCCGATATGTCATCTCAATCAAGAGAGGGAACTGCAAGATGGAGAAAAGAACTATCGGAATCGTTGAAAGGACGATGATCGGAATGGTAACCCAAGACAACTTCTCATGCAGAATCAAATACAATGCAGAACCAAAGGATGCCATCATGGTAACGATTGAAAAGAACAAACACGTCAATCCAAATATTAATTTCATCGGTAGGGACTTGAGAAAATCTTCTTCTGCATAACGCGCCGTAAGAATTCCTAAGAACATCAACAGCGACGTACTCGAACTGAACATTGACAAAGCATTTGAAATGATGAAAA